CAATCCAAATTGCATCCGCATTTCCCCTGACTGCATACGAAAGTCGCTGCCGTCACGGCAGCCACGGCAGTGCCGTGTAACATTCAGGGACATACTGCGTGGGTATGGCAGCTATTCTCTGTAGGAAGCACGCAATAGTCCCTAAACGATCAAGTGGTTTATCTTCTTCAAGCCGTCGTCACTCGAGCAGTCACTGTTCAAGCAAGCAACTTGACGAGCTTACGAAGCTAGCTCATGATTCGCTACATACTTACTACAGAAGTCAACACTGTTGCCTCAACAGCACTTGTGACTTTAATTAAAGCACATTGAGCCATTTAATCGCATCAGTAGTAAGTACGCATCATCTTATCATATTTCCTTGCCTTCACCCTCATGATCATGCTCCGGTCTCGGAGTTGCTCGGTACTCTATCAGAGTCTCTATGTGTTCGATGATTCGAATTCCTTGCTGGGATCGTAACTGTACGGGATCGTGCAAAAATACAACAATTACTTCAGTCTATACCACGACAGAATGATATTTCCTCCTATACCTTCTCGTGGAAAATATCTCTTGAAATTGCTGTTTCACTCGCTGCGAGCGACTCGCACAAATTCACGGCGTGAATTGCAGGTGCTCGCAGGTTGTGAACGCATACAGCCTAGCGCAATAGAACGTTTCCATTCCTTCATCAATATTCCGTGTCGTCGTGTGAGAAACGTGAGAGCTACAGTGGAACTCTGAAACACTTGACTGAATCGATAGATCCTTTAATGTCGAGTTAGTGATATCCGGAGGCGCGCAGAACTAGCGGCTAGTTCTACTAGAACTATCAGTTCGAATAGCGCAAAGTTTGCGCCGCAAATGAATAGAATACATATACTCAGAGTCCTGAAACCACGAACTAAGAGACGTACATTATCACGCGGTACGTGAAAAATCAGGAACTAACAATCCATTGCATTATTAGCGTGTGATTACATAGCGATGACATGATAGGCGTCCGAATCTGGCCACTCGAACGAAAAACCTTCACAAAGTGACGACATGTACACCACTCGCATGGACACATACTCTAACTTGATACTATGTTTATTATGATATCACGTGTTTCCTCACGTGCATACCTAGGCCGATTTTGCGGTCTAAGCCTTCAAATCATTGACTCGAATTCTCGCTCAGCGTGATCAATTGCTGATGAGCACTGCAGGCAACTAGCAGGGCAGTGCAAACCATATCTATTGAACGGTCGGGTAGTGGGATGTGGCATGTGACGTAGGGGATGTGGCATTTCTTCTTCTCCTTTCTCTTCCTTCCTCTCCTCTCCTCCCCTTTTTCCCTACTTCCCCCCTAGCCTACATTGGGGTGATCTTCAGTTCGATGATACTTCACTCACCGGAATTTCGGAACTGACGAAAAGCTCGAAAATCGAGATACCACTAAAATGTCTCCGAGGCAGGCGCAACGATGAATTCTTTCGGCTGTATCCAGCGTTTGAAACACTGGGCATACAGGAGCGTCTGAAACGAGATGAGATGCAGCTGCCTGGACCAGTCCGAACTTGCAATTTGGTTCGTATCGCACGCCACCACCCGATATATTTGAAGACTAGAGTACCTCCATGATGGGATACGGGACTGTCACAGTCCGACTGTGTCGTACCCATACTGTAATTTCTGCCGCATTATGGATATGGGCCGGTGCCAAGGTTCTTGGATACGCGGAAGGCTCACCTGAGATGCCCCGCGTGCCGAAAGAGCCGTATTGTGATCGTCGCTCTTCTTTCTAGCATGATAAGACGTGGTGCACGTGGAACTTTGTTGACGCGAAAGGAGATACGACGTTGCCACTAGTGTTGATCAAGTACGGTGGTCAGTAGAGTTTTTCGTGCTTGACTAGGTCATCAGATTTATCTGTGAGATGCTGGTTCTGCTCTCTATGTGTGAGTCTAGGACAAGAAACGTAAAATTGAGTTTCAGAGGCTCGTTTAGGCTTAGTTTATTCTCACCACATGTGTCTTGAACAACAATTGTC